CGTTATGATCTTGCATTTGAAAGCCCTATTTGAATATGCATTGTGGCCAGCCGTCTTTGATGGCACGGTACGGTACGGGATAGGTACGGGACAGGTACGATCGAGGGTAATACGATACCTTCTACCGCCTTGATGACGGCAAAAAAAGCATAGGAATGTTATACATTTTTCAATTCTCCTATTTTTTCAGGCATATCCTGGGATTCGAACCCGCACTATCGCCCTACATGCACTTCGCATTCATACCCATTCTTCCAAGTTGCTTCACGTTATGTATGATCTTGCGTTTGAAAGCCCTATTTGAATATTGCGGCCAGCTGTATGTGGCCAGCTGTGTTTGATGGTACGGTACGGTACGGGACAGATACGGGCTAGCGCCAGGCGTGACACAAACAAACAAACAAACAAACAAACACACAAATACAGAACGAGAGAGCTTGGAAGCTCAGGGCCCTACGCTATGCTTTTTTGCCTTGATGACCTAGACAAAAAAAAGCATAGGAATGTTATAAATTCTTTAAAAATTTCTTTTTTTTAAGACATAACCTGGGATTCGAACCCGCACTATCGCGCCCTGCATGCATCCCCCGGTCTTTAAAAATTTCCTTTTTTTAAAAGACATAACCTGGGATTCCAACCCGCACTATCGCGCCCTGCATGCACCCCCCGATACACTTCGCATACATACTAATTCTTCCAAGTTGCTTCACATTATGATCTTGCATTTGAAAGCCCTATTTGAATATGCATTGTTGCCAGCCGTCTTTGATGGTACGGTACGGTAGGGATAGGTACGGGACAGGTACGATCGAGGGTAATACGACACCGTCTCCCGTACCGTACCATCAACCACAGCTGGCCACATACAGCTGCCCGCAATATTCATTTAATAGGGCTTTCAAACGCAAGATCATAACGTGAAGCAACTTGGAAGAATGGGTATGAATGCGAATTGTATGGGGGAATGCATGTAGGGCGATAGTGCGGGTTCGAATCCCAGGATATGCCTGAAAAAAAAATAGGAGAATTGAAAAATATAATATACATGTATATATAACATCCCTATGATATTTTGCCGTCAGATACGGGATTGCGCCAGGCGTGACACAAACAAACAAACAAACAAACAAACTAACACACAAACAAATACCAAACGAGAGAGCTTGGAAGCTCAGGGCCCTACGCTATGCTTTTTTTGCCTAGCTCATCGTACATGTTATAAGAACTGAGGCAAAAGTGTTTGCAGAATTTATTGCGGATTGTTTTTTCTCTAATATTCGTCTACTTTTGGTTTGCTCCTTTTCTTTTTATCTCCTTATACTGTAAATCAACAAATTTTGGCAGATGAGAAATAGAAACTTCTCTATTAGAGAGGTTAAGATGCACGTTATTTCCGACGTGACGCGCAATTTCACGTCAAATTTGAAATCGATCGGTATTTTTCCTCTCACATGCATCCATTGCTCAATCATGCATCATTTGCCTATATGACATACTTTGGCCTGCGATTTACTTTGGCCGGTTGGTACCAAGCGGCGAAATCAGCGAAATTAAATCGCCAGCGAAAATTAGTTGATTTTAAAATACAGTAATCGGATTTTCTGGCCTTTTTGTAGTTATACATGTACATTGACCTGTTGAGCCAATGACTGATGTATATTATACATTGTTTATTTATTTATTTTTTTATATATATTTTTTTGGTCCCATCGGCCTCTTCATATTTGTGCAGCTGCACTGTTGAGCTTCCGATGTAAAACAAAAATAATAATAATGACGACGCCGAATGCATGGTTGCCTGTGGAGCACATTACATAACTTAGCAGTCTCCTAAAATACGTATCCTGTCCGACGGCAAAAGAGTCTGCAGATTTAGTTTTTCTGCGCGTCGACCGGATGTCTGCGACGCGAAAGTTCAGCTCGCGTTATTTGGCTCGCACGTCGAAAAATCAACGCGAGTGACCTGCTGCTCACGTGGAAATTTGGACATTACATAACTTTACAGTCTCCTATAATACGTATCCTGTCCGACGGCAAAAGAGGCTGCAGATTTAGTTTTTCTGCGCGTCGACGGGATGTCTGTCCTGACGTTCACTGGGACCGGCGCTGACTCTGCCGATCACGGGCGTTCTGGACTCGACGGGATGGCTGTCCTGACGTTTCCTGGTACCGGCTTAGACTCTGCCGATCACGGGCGTTCTGGACTAAACGGGATGTCTGTCCTGACGTTGCCTGGGACCGGCCAACTCTGCCGATCACGGGGTTCTGGAGTCGACGGGATCTCTCTTCCGACGTTTCCTGTGACCGGCGCTGAATCGCTCGTTCACGCTTATTTTGGAGACGACGGGATCTCTCTTCCAAAGTACATGTATGTTAATGCGGACGCATCCTATCACCTATTCGGCGTCTATTCTAATTTAATTTCCTCCTCGTCTCCGTATTTCTTTCCAAATCTCCCTCTACATCAGGGAGTCGTATACATAATACGACGAATATTGGTACGGTACGGGACAGATACAGGAGCCCGCAAATATTGTGGACAGCTGTTATGTACAATCCTGTAGAGCCTTTGTAGTCACAGATACGGGACAGATACGGGACAGATACGGGATAGCTCCAGCCGTGACACAAACAAACAAACAAACAAACACACAAACACCAAACGAGAGAGCTTGCAAGCTCAGGGCCCTACGCTATGCTTTGTTGCCCAGCTCATCGTGCATGTTGTTAGAACTGATGGATATGTTTTTTTCCTTTGATTAGCTACATCATTGTATTGCAAAAACGTTTCAATGAGTTACTGAAGTAACGTCTTCTGCATAGCTACGGGACCGGCGTTGACTCTGCCGATCACGGGCGTTCTGGAGTTGACAGGATGTCTGTCCTGACGTTTCCTGGGACCGGCGCTGACTCTGCTCATCACGGGCGTTCTGGAGTCGACGGGATGTCTGTCCTGACGTTTTACGGTACGGGACAGATACAGGAGCCCGCAAATATTGTGGACAGCTGTTATGCACAATCCTGTAGAGCCTTTGTAGTCACAGATACGGGACAGATACGGGATAGCTCCAGGCGTGACACAAACAAACAAACACACAAACAAACACCAAATTAAAGCTGTGTGGACCCTGGCTAGCGCCAGACGTTACTGAAGTAACGTCTTCTGCATAGCTACGGGAATTAAAGCTGTGTGGACCCTGGCTAGCGCCAGACGTTACTGAAGTAGCTACGGGAATTAAAGCTGTGTGGACCCTGGCTAGCGCCAGACGTTACTGAAGTAACGTCTTCTGCATAGCTACGGGAATTAAAGCTGTGTGGACCCTGGCTAGCGCCAGACGTTACTGAAGTAACGTCTTCTGCATAGCTACGGGAATTAAAGCTGTGTGGACCCTGGCTAGCGCCAGACGTTACTGAAGTAACGTCTTCTGCATAGCTACGGGAATTAAAGCTGTGTGGACCCTGGCAAGCGCCAGACGTTACTGAAGTAACGTCTTCTGCATAGCTACGGAAATAATAATAATAATGACATTGCTGTATCCGAGCAGATCACTGTATAACAATCAAGGTCCGAAATCTTCATCTTTAACAGAGTAACATGTATAGGGGTTTGAATAAGTGAATTACACATTGCTTTATGCGGAAAACTTAGCTTTCAAATGCTCCTTTCTCAGTTCTGCGTGAAAAGACATAAGCCCCCTTTTCGGATCATTTTACATGATGTGACATTAAACAATGGTCGCGAGTGACGTGTGAATGCAGGGATATAATTATGTATACGCACATGCACACACGCATACACAGCAATGTTAAACATAAACAAACACGCTGGTCCTGCTGGTCTTGCTGCTGCTGGATATACAGCTGCTACTGGTAGTACCGCTGCTGGTGCTGAAGCTTCCACCTTACATTGCTAAGGTTGCGGGGAAGCTGACATCAAAATAATTTTCTGATTAGGTTGGGGGAGCGCTGACATCATGCATTGCCATTCATCTACTCACACAAGGTGTTTTGCGCAGCAGCGCGCACTATGCTTTTTCTGACGCTGCCGTCACAGTGCCTCTAGTCGACTATTTAGACGTTTCTTCTCCATCGCTCTACGGCGGATAAACTCGGGGTAACAGCGCCTGCCATTGCTACTAACGCGCGCAAGCGGATGACGCATGCAGGTGCTGTGCTGTTTAATACTTTGCCCACGGGAAATAGATGCATTTCAAGCTTGCCAGTTTTCAAGTCCAACGCCATGAAGGATATAATTATCACTATAGACCTGGACCATTGATATTCTTATGGAGGATTGTCTCCTTTACCGTCGGCAAAGTAATCAATGTGATGGGCTTCTGCCGGTGCTGGAGCTGGTACTTCCTCATCCATAGTGTCGCTACTGCTGCTTCGAGTGCTGCAGGGAGTGGACTGCTTCTTCGTCTTCAGACAGTATTGCAATTATGAATGGAGGATTGTCTCCTATACCGTCGGCATAGTACACAAGGTGATGAGCTTGGTACAGAACGACATTGGCTTCTGCCGGTGCAGGAGGTGGTACTTCCTCAGCCATCGGGCCGCTGTTTCTGCCTCAAGTGCTGGTGGTCCTGCCGGTGTTGCTGCTGCGGTGTATACAGCTGCTACTGGAAATACCGCTGATGGTGCTGAAGCTGCCACCTCACACTGCTTAGGTTGCGGGAATGCCGACATCAAACAATTTCCTGATTAGACCATTTGATGCTCTTGTAAATATTTCGTACTTTTCTTTCCCTCCACTCTTTCTCCCCACTCCTACCTCTCACGCGCCCAAAGATTTACCCAAGTGGGTCCAGTGTCATTAGGATTTTCCTGTTCGGGATTTACCACTATTCAATAAAGGACACAACTTTATCCTCACGCCGTGAAAACTTAGACGTTACAGAACTATTGATTTGTTAATATTGGATATACCCATGCAATTATCAACAGCCATCCTGCTTTCATTGCATGCAGGGCAGACAGTGACAATACCATTTTCAGGATTGACAGTTTGAAACTTTTTATTGAGACCAAACTTAGGTCCAGGGTCCCCTGGACACATGTTGAAAAACACGGACACATGTTGAAAAACACGGTGGGGTGAATGTATTATGCATGCATGACTGTACATGTACATTTAACTATGGTCCCGAGTGACGTGTGCCTGCAGGGGGTATAATATGTATACGCACATGCACACACGCAGACACAAACATGTTCAACATAAACAAACTCGTTAACACAAACAACGAACAACGTACAAGAGAGAGTAAAATGAGAGAAAAAGGAGAGAGAGAGAAGAGAGAGAGATAGAGAGAGCGAAGAGAGAGAGAGATAGAGAGAGCGAAAGAAGAGATATAGAGAGAGAGAGGAGAGAGATAGAGAGATAGAGAGAGAAGAGAGAGAGAAAAGAGAAGAGAGAGAGAAAAGAGGGAGAGAAAGAGAGAGAAAAGAGAGAAAGAGAAAAGAGTTTGAGAGAGAAAAGAGAAGAGAGAGAGAAAAGAGGGAGAGAAAGAGAGAGAGAAGAGAGAAAGAGAAAAGAGTTTGAGAGAGAAAAGAGAGAGAGTGCTAGAGAAAGAAAGACAGAGAGATAGAAAGATGGAGAGCTAGAGCTAGAGAAAGAGAGAGAGAAGGCGAGCTCTAAAGAGGGCTAGAGAAAGAAAGATAGAGAAAGAGAAAAAGAGAAGGGAGACAGAGCTAGAGAAAAAAGAGAGAGACGGAGAGCTAGAGCTAGGGTGAGAGACGGAGAGATAGAGCTGGAGAGAAAGGGAGTGGTAGAGAGAAACAGAGACAGCCAGATAGAGAAGGATAGACAGAGAGAGAGGGAAAAAGAAAGAAAAAGAGATAGGTAAGAAGAGGGAGAGGAGAAAAACCATACGGAGAGCAACTTGACTTACATTGTACGAGGATAACGGGCCTGTCCACGTGCAGCCGTCCACCTTTCTCTCACACATAATTAATAACTCTCCAATACGGCCCTTCACGCTTCCATCTACCTCCAACTGCATATTTGACTGGATGACGCCAAAACAATACCATATATCTAAACTTTAAAATGTTCCCAATGGATGGGTACATGCATAGACAAGATTACGTTTAATTGTACGAGACTTTGAGGTCGGCAGGTTTCAAGAACGTTTGCGTGTTGAAAACGCAAACTTTGCGCGCGGCAAAAGTACATCGCTTTACAGTACACGTGGAAAGCGTCACTGCCAAGTAAATGACCCCATTGGACGCTGTGGGTTTTGCAGCCACTCACATTCTCTAATCACGCACCAAATAGCTGATATTTTAAATTGCAGTGAGGCAACAGCACAACAGGTGTGCGTGTGTGAGTTTGTGCGCATATGTGCGTGTGCGTGTGGGTGTGTATGTGGGCGTGTGCGTGGGCGTGTAAATGTTCTATATGTATATCAAGTAGCTTACGTCTCCTAGCACATTCCAAGAAAGCGATCCTCTGTCCATTGGGCACTGCTCCTTGCGCCTGTGAAAACAAAGTTACCAGAAAATACACAGAGAACACAGAAGACACACACACACGCACAACACAAAAGCAAAACATACACACGCACACACACGCACACACACGCACACACACGCACACACACGCACAACACACACGTGCTTTCATGTACATGTACATACACACTCACACTCATACACACGTACACACATACACACGTACACACATACACACGCACACACATACACACGCACACACACACACACACACACACATAATTAACACTAACCAGTCGGTACACGGTCTTGTTATCATGAACGCTCTTTGTCTGGTGGGAGAGAGTAATGCTGTGCGACCTTGCCATGTGGTTTCAATAATATACGTGAATGTGTCCACATCGTCATGCAGAGAGTTTAATTCCAAACGTGTGACTTACCTGAGGACTTCGGTGATGCAGCTGTGGCAGAAATGATGGCCACACCTTACCACACGCATGGGGTGGCGTAACACCCCCCTGCATACTGGGCACGTTAATTCTGGGGCCGGAGGCGTGATGAAAGCCTCCTTGTCGAAGCCACCCATGTTGTTTGACGGCCATGTCACCATGGCCGTGTATTCGTCAGGATACGGTGCGTTTTCTGCTGCTTTTTTTTTCTTATTTATTAATGCTGCGGTTGCTTCTGCAATTAATTCTACTTCTTCGGTTGTTCTTGCTATTAATGCTAGTGCTGCTTCTAGTGCTTCTTCTGCTGCTGCTAGGGCTGCTGCTTGTTCTGGATATTCAGCCATCGTGAACCTGTTACCTAGAGTGCTGCTGGTCCTGCTGGTGTTGCTGGTGCTGCTACTGGTGCGGCCGCTGCTTGATCTGAAGCTTCAACGTTACACTGTTTGGGTTGGGAACGCTGCCATCAAATGGATCTTCTCAGGCGTTGGTACAGCTGATATGAAGGCAATCACCTGCTTATATACTGGTGCATACATGTCGTACATTCACCGGTATACATGTACATGTACCAGCAATTCGTCTACGGAGAGTTGTAGTTGTTCAAGTATGATACTCGACACCATGATAGTTGTACGTGCACTGGATCAGTACAAATCCGTGGAGCAATTGTGAAAACCTAGCACCGTGCGTATCGGTTATGGTATGGTTGGGTTAAGGAATATACATGTATTGCTAACAAGAATGAACTCTCATATTTTCATAATCATGGCATGTGTTTCAAATGAACATGAATTGACAGCAATTTTGCAGACAACGCGACGAGCAACAAGGTCTACCATTGTCGTCCGAGTCAAAGTCCCCACAACACTCAACGGAAACTAAGTTTGTCGCTCCATCCACTTGCACCACCATGCTTTCCTGGTCCTGGACAACACACTACTGAAACTCCCAATCAACCTGCCCAATTATCTTCATTCCTCTCAGGGCTTTCACTTAACTGACACTTCATGGTGAAAATGCTAGCTGAGCTTTGGCAAGTCTGTAAGCAGCATTCTCCAGACATAATTTCAATTTTTGCCTACTTCAAGTATGTGAAACGTGGCTGCCAGCTGCCATAGACATCTAAATTCTAGGATTAATACACGCCAAACCGTCTGGACCGCCCACCTACGACCTGCTCTGGTAATTTGCCAGCAAGAGGCTATGGCGGTGTTGGTACTCTTGTATCTGACAGGTCGTTCATCTCCATCAAGCGCCGCTTCGACCTTGACCGTGGCACTATGCCGGAATTTTGAGTTTTTCCGGCCTGGAAAGCTTGTCAGTGAGGCGCAAGAACTCTTAAATCATGTCCAGAGGGCCAGCATAGTGGCAGGAGTGTGTGGTGAAAATGTCACTCAAATCCATTGAGAGACACCAAAGTTAAGGCTGGAAAAACCGCTACCAAGCAGGACTTGAACCAGGTGCCTCTCGTATCTCAATCATTGTCTTTGACCAACCCACTGTGGCTGAAGCTGGATAGGTGCATAAGTATTAGCGTAAAAAAGCAAGGCATTGTGGTTACTAGTTTTGCTTTCAGAGTGCCTCTAGCCGCCTATTTAAACGTTTCTTCTCCATCGCTCTATGGCGGATATACTCGGTGTGGCAGTAGAAACTTGCTTCTTATTCCCCCTGCTATTGCTACTCACTCGCGCAAGCGGATGACGCATGCAAGTGCTAGGCTGTTTCATTTTAATACTTTGCCCCCGGGAAATAGATGCATTTCAAGCTTGCCAGTTTTCAAGCCCAACGCCGTGAAAGATATATCACAAGGTTTACTATAGACCTGGACCATTGATACTCTTATTATAAATGGAGGATTGTCTCCTTTACCGTCGGCATAGTAAACAATTTAATGGGCTTCTGCCGGTCCAGGAGCTGGTACTTCCTCATCCATCGTGTCAATACTGCTACCTCCAGTGCTGCAGGTCTTCGTCGTCGGATAGTATTGCTATTATGAATGGAGGATTGTCTCCTATACCGTCGGCATTCTACACAACGTGATGCGCTTGGTACACAGCGACATAGGCTTCTGCCGGTGCTGGAGGTGGTACGTCCTCAGCCATCGTGCCGCTGTTTCTGCCTCGAGTGCTGCTGGTCCTGCTGGTGTTGCTTGTTGTGCTCCTGATGGTTATGCTGCTGCTACTGGTAATACCGCTGCTGCTGGTGCTGAAGCTTCCACCTTGCACTACTTAGGTTGCGGGAACGCCGACATCAAACAAATTTCCTGATTAGACCATTGATGCTCTTGTAAATATTTCGTACTTTTCTCTCCCTCCACTACTTATCCCCGCTCCTACCTCTCACACACACTATTGCTTTACCGAAGTGTCATGAGGATTTTGCCTCTTTGCGATTTATCACTACTGTAGACCGGTTAATTTTAGCGACTATTAATTTAAGCGTTCTCATTGTCAACCGGTTAGCGACGTTTTATTTTAGCGATTTGCGGCGATTTTACTCACGGATTACCAGTGCACTACTAATGTCTCAATGGATTAGCGACTTGAAACTTTAGCGAAAATGAGTAGAGCGCTAAATTCGCTAGGGTTTTTACATCGCTAAAATTACCCGTTCTACAGTATTCAATCAGCGGGCTGTGTATCATTGCTTCATCGATTTCCGTAAGGTCTTCGATAAGGTTTGGCACAAAGCGCTATTCAAGATTATGAGAGCGCATGGCATCGAAGCAAGAATTGTGGACCTGATTGAAGCGCTTTACGCTACTACTGAAGCTGCCATCGTTGTTGGATCCACTATCACCGACTGGTTCACCACGTCAGTGAGTGTCAGGCACGGCTGTTTACTCTCGCCTTGTCTGTTCAACGTATTCCTGGAGTACATCATGTATGACGCTTTGGGGGAGTTTGATGGGTCAGTATGTATCGGCGGCATGTGCGTGACCAACCTCCGTTTTGCGGATGATATAGATCTAATCGCATCGTCTGTGGAAGAGCTGATGGACCTGACCGAGCGCGTGGATACGAGTGCAACAAGACTAGGCATGCAGATCAATGCTTCCAAGACCAAGTCAATGGCAGCGCCGGAGGGCGGTGGTGATCTGGGGTGCATTCAAGTAGGCAATGAGCGAATAGAAGAGGTATCCCAGTTTAAATACTTAGGTGCCGCAATCACGTTGGATGGCAAGTCCGATGTGGAGATAAGCAGACGCTTAGCACTAAGGAAGCAAAAGATCATTGAGCTTCAATTCATTTGGAAATCGCCATCACTTTCTTTGCCAACTAAATTTCGTTTTGTTAGGTCTATTGTGCTAGCGACTGTTTTATACGGATGCCAATCTTGGACATTATCTGCCTCATCAATGAAAAAAATGTCATCCTTCGAGATGAAATGCTTCCGTCGACTCTTAGGAGTAACATACCACGACCGGCGTACCAACCAATCTATCCTGGAAGAAAGCAATGACATTATCGGAGCAAGGATGCGGCAAGCGAACGAAGTCAAGAAATTTAAGTTGCTATGGTTTGGCCATGTTACGAGACATGACGTTTTCTCCAAGCCCTTTCTGCATGGATCAGCACCTAGATGTCGACCGAGAGGAAGGCCCGCGACATCTCTCATGCAGCACACGATACATACATACACAGTATTCAATAAAGAACACAACAACTTCATCCTCACGCCATGAAAACGTAGACGTAACAAAACTTTTGATTTGGTTATATTGGATATACCCATGCAATTATCAACAGCCATACTGCTTGCATTGCATGCAGTGCAGACAGTGACAGTACCATTTTCAGGATTGACAGTTTGATATTTTTTATTAAAACCAAACTTAAGTTCAGGTTCCCCTGGACACATGTTGAAAAACACGGACACATGTTGAAAAACAAGGTGGGGTGAATGTATTATGCATGCATGGTTGTACATGTACATTTAACTATGGTCCCGGGTGACGTGTGCCTGCAGGGGGTATAATATGTAAACGCACATGCACACACGCATACACAAACATGTTCAACATAAACAATTTCGTTAACACAAACAAAGAACGAACAACGTACGAGAGAGAGAGAGAGAGAGATAGAGAGAGAGAAAATGAGATAAAAAGGAGATAAAGAGCGAAAGAGAGCGAAGGGAAAGAGAGCGAAAGCGAGGGAAGAGAGGGAAGAGAGCGAAAGCGAGCGAAAGAGAGGGAAGGAGAAGAGAGAGAGATAAGAGAGAGAGTGAAGAGAGAAGAGAGAGAAGAGAGAGAGAGAAGAGAGAGAGAGGAGAGAGAGAAGAGAGAGAGGAGAGAGAGAGAAGAGAGAGAAGAGAGAGAGAGAAGAGGGAGAGAGAAGAAAGAGAGTAGAGAGAGAGAGAGAAGAGAGAGAAGAGAGAGAGAAGAGAGAGAGAAGAAAGATTTGAGAGAGATTTGAGAGAATGTAGAGAGAGAAAAAGAAAGGGAAATAGAAAGAGAGAAAGAGAGAGAGGGCTAGAGAAAGAAAGACAGAGAAAGATAGAGAGACGGAGAGCTAGAGCTAGAGAGATAGAGAGAAGGCGAGATCGAGCGAGCCAGACGGTTAGAGAAAGAAAAAGAGAGAAAGAGAAAGAGAAGGGAGACGGAGCTAGAGAAAGAAAGAGATGTGAAGCGAGAGAGACAGCTAGGTTAATAGACGGAGAGCTAGAGCTGGAGTAAGAGGGAGTGCTAGAGAGATACAGAGACAGACGGAGAGAGAGGGAGAGAGACAGACAGACAGAAAGTGACAGAGAGAGAGACAGAGAGAAAAAAAGAGATGGATAAGAAGAGGGAGAGGGTAAGAACTATACGGAGAGCGACTTTACTTACATTGTATGAAGATAATTGGCCTGTCCACGTGCAGCCGTCTACCATATTCTCACAGGTAATATTTAACTCCCCTATACGGCGCTTCAGGCTTCGATCCTGTACCAACTGCAGATTTGAGTACATGACACCAAGACAATACCATCGATCTCAACTTCAAATGTTCCTAAGGGAAGGGTCGATGCGTCGACAAGATTAGGGTGAATTGCACGATACAGTGAGGTCGACAGGTTTCAAGAACGTGTGCGTGTATGGAAGGGGGGGGGAGGGGGGGGACATACTGTAAAGTGAGGAATTTTCGCTATTTTCGCTACCAGCAAACTTTCGCGAATACATATCACCGCAAACTGCTCTGTGCATTGATTTTTGACTGTACCCAATCCAATTGAAGAGATTAAATCGCGAAAGTTTCTTGCCGTGAACCGGCGAAATTCTTGAAAACGCAAACTTTGCGCGCCGCCAAAGTCTATCGATTTACATTACACGTGGTAAGCGTCACTGCCAAGTAAATGACCCCATTCGACGCTGTGATTTTTGCAGCCACTAACATTCTCTCATAAACCACCAAATAACTGATATTATGAATTGCAACGAGGCAACAGAACAGCACAACAAGTGTGAGTGTGTGTGTGTGTATAATTATGCGCGTGTGCGTGTGGGTGTGTATGTGGGCGTGTATGTGGTCGTGTAAATGTTCTTTTTGTTTTTTTATATAACTTACATCTTCTGCCTCCCCCCAGGACAGCCACCCTCCGTCCAATGGGCACAGCTCATTATGCCTTTGAAAACAAAGTTACCAGAAAATACACAGAGAACACAGAAGACACACACACGCACAACACACACACACACACGCACAACACACACAGACACGCAAGCACAACCGTGCATAAATGTACATGTACATACACACGCATACACATAAACACATAATTAGTACTAACAATAACCAGTCGGTACTCGGTCTTATTATCATGAACTCTCTTTGTCCGGTGGGAGAGAGTAATGCTGTGCGACCTTGGGATGTGGTGACCACAATAGATAGACGTGAATGTGTGCACATGGTCATGCAGATAGTTTAAGTCCAAACGTGTGACTTACTTGAGGGCTTCCGTGATGCAGCTGTGGCAGAAATGATGGCCACACCTTACCACGAGCATGGGGTGGCGTAAAACCCTTCCGCATGCTGGGCACATGAACTCTTGTGCCGGAGGCGTGATGAAAGCCTCGCGGTCGAAGCCACCCATGTTGTCTGACGGCCATGTCGCCATGGCCGTGTAATCTGACCCAGATGGTCCTTCTGCTGCTGATATTACTGCTGCTGTTGCATCCTTTATTGCTGCGGCTTCTGCTACTGCTTCTCGTGCTGCTGCTAGTGCTGCTGCCAGTGCTGCTGGTATTGCCGCTGCTGGTGCAAGTGCTGCTGGTATTGCCGCTGCTGGTGCAAGTGCTGCTGGTGGTGCAAGTGCTGCTGGTATTGCCGCTGCTGGTGCAAGTGCTGCTGGTATTGCCGCTGCTGGTGCAAGTGCTGCTGCTCGTGCTGCTGCTACTGCTGCTGCTGCTGTTCGTACTGGTCCTACTGCCGCCGGTGGTGGTGCAGGGGATGTTGCTGGTGGTGAATGTCCTCCTTCATCGTCGTCGGAAGAGACCACAATGATTGGAGGATTGTCGGCTTCACCGTCTGGTCCTGCTGCTGGTGCAGGTGTTGCCTCATCCTCATCTGATAAAACTAGTATCAGTGGTATAGGATCTTCGGAAAGGTTCACAAAGTGATGTGCTTCGTACACCACGCCATCCTCTGCTTCCTGTGTTGGAGATGGCACTTCAGCCATCGTGCCGCGATTTTCTTGAGTGCTGCCGGTCCTGCTGGTGTGGCTGCTGCCACTGGTGCTTCCGCTGCTGGTTCTGAAGATTCAAAGTCACACTGTTTGCGGTGAGAACGCTGCCATCAAATGGATCTGCTTAGGCTGCGGAAACGCTGACATCAAGGCAATCACCCGCTTATATACAGGTGCATAAATGTCGTACATTCACCGGTATACAGGCAATTCGTCTACGGAGAGTTGTATTTGTTCAAGTACATGTATGATACTCGACATCATGATAATTGTACGTGCACTGGATCAGCACAAATCCGTGAAGCAATTGTGAAAACCTTGCGCCGTGCTTATTGGTTATGGTGTGGTTGTGTTAAAGAATATACATGTATTGCTAACAAGAATGAACTCTCATATTTTCATAGCATGGGTTTCAAATGATCATTAATTCCCGTAGCTATGCAGAAGACGTTACTTCAGTAACGTCTGGCGCTAGCCAGGGTCCACACAGCTTTAATTTGGTGTTTGTTTGTGTGTTTGTTTGTTTGTGTCACGCCTGGCGCTATCCTGTATCTATCCCGTACTGTACCGTACCAGCAAAGACAGCTGGCCACAATATTTTTGTTTGTTTCTGCGATCGACATGCCTGGCGCTATCCCGTACCTGTCCCGTACCATCAAAAGTACGGTACCATCAAGAGAATGAGCATATATGCGAAGTGTATGGGGGGGGGGGGATGCATTCAGTGCAGTAACATTAAATTTTGTGTGGATTTGTGTGCGAGGCCGAGATGCCACTAGCAGGCTGGCTGGGTCGCCTGTCGACCAGCCCGGAAATCGCATGTAGGCCGATAGCATAATAACAAGAGTACATAACCCCCCAGAGTGTGCAACGCCTGATCCAGCTCTGCATAGGGTCTTGGTCGAGCGGAATCGGATCTTTGCGTCATAATACCGTACACATCCGAGGGGAACCCGGGAAGTCGCGGGTACTCTTGGATCAAAAACAATGGTGCCCTGCCTCGAGACCGGCTGGTGTGAAGTGTACGCATGACATCAGAAGATCCGATTCCGCTCGACCAAGACCCTACACAGAGCTGGATCGGCGTTGCACACTCTGGGGGGTTATGTACTCTTGATAATAATTATAACGTATATACAGTCACTCAATCTGCGGACAGCATGATGTTTCGTTCTTTTTGAACTCATCAGCGCAGCACAGAGAAAATGAGGCCGAACCTGATAGCAATGAAAATAAAAATTTCCAATCAGGCCCGAACGTATCTTGCCAGAGTGCTCAAACTGACAAGTCAGTCATGTAGATGTATAGCAGGGAGTCATATTATGTAAACGACTCCCTGCTGCATGGGGAGATTTTCTGGAAAGAAATACGAAGTAAGGAGACGAGTAAATGCAATCAGAATGGATGTTAGTTGCCGTCAGTATTATAATAATAAGAAGAAGAAGAACGCCCGTGATCGGCAGAGTCAGCGCCGGTCCCAGGAAACGTCAGGACAGACATCCCGTCGACTCCAGAACGCCCGTCATCGGCAGAGTCAGCGCCGGTCCCATAGCTATGCAGAAGACGTTACTTGTACTTCAGTATCTCATTGAAACGTTTTTGCAAAACAATGATGTAGCTAATCAAAGGAAAAAGCATTTCCATCAGCTCTAACAACATGCACGATGAGCTAGGCAACAAAGCATAGCGCAGGGCCCTGAGCTTCCAAGCTCTCTCGTTCCCGTAGCTATGCAGAAGACGTTACTTTTTGTTTGTTTGTTTGTTTCTTTTATTTGAATTCGTTTAGAGCACAGGCACATCTGCCTTTCCACCCGAGGAAAACCTCCGGTTCCTGCTAAGAGCGATTAGACTATTATGAGAGAAGGAAATATTAAAAAGAATCATAACATAATAATGCCAAAGCACAAAGTATGTACATAATTCAAATGGGTGGGTGAATGTGTAAGCATGCAGTGGAGAACACACAGAGAAACACATGCAGTAATGTGTAGGCAAGGAAGGAGCGCGGTTAACACTGGTTACAAAATTTAATTACAATAATTCTGTTCAGAGCCAGTTTAAATGCAAAAGCCGCACTGTGGAGGCGAATATCACTGGGAAGGGCATTCCAAAGAGTGCTTCCCACAAATGTCAATGAATGACGACCGGAAGGTCCAGGAAGGAAAGGCAATTGCAGTAGCCGCTGTTCCTGCCCTGGAGCACTTCGGCGATCATCTCGGGATGCTTGGCCTGTATTAGCCGTCAACTGAAAGTAGGTGCAGAAAAGAGGACTTGCAAGATCATGTAGGCAACGGAAAACGAAAAAACAAAACCTTGTAGTGAAAAATGTGAGCTAGGGATCGAATAGATCAGTTCACGAGGAGGGGGCTGGGGATGCACGGCTGGAGAGTCGGTGAATTGCACGATATCCGGATTTGCTGGATTTGATTAAACGATTCTGCAGCTGCTGTGTCAGCGACGGGAAAAATGGATTGGATGCATACGTTAGTCGTGCTTGCACGATGACAATGTACCAAAGTCTGCGGGCTGTTATGTACAGAGATCGCCCATTGCGCCATAGCTGGCTGAAGGCGACTGACGCCTTCTGCAGAACACTGGAGACATGTGGCTGCCGTGATAGCTGGCTCAGTGACGTCTGGCGCTAGCCATGGTCCACACAGCTTTAACTCCCAACTTACCCAACAACAACAAAGGCAATAACTGCAGATCACCTTGTCAAATGTTACGCTAGGGGAAGTGGAAAGCACCAGATGCCTAGGAGTCGTTGTCGACAATAAGCTGTCCTTTGACCAACACATTAACAATGTCGTCCGGAAAGCCTCACGGAAGATCGGTATACTGCGCCGATCTTTCCACCAGATGAACCTGTTTGCCCGCCGTACTTTCGTTGTCGGTGTTATTCAGCCTGATCTATATGCTCTCCCTGTATACATTTCGTTTATATCCGCACCCTGTACCAGAGGACAAACTCAACACTACTTGGTATCTCGATCCTGGTAGCCCGCTGGGGTCTGTTTGGGCACGTGCTGCGGCTGGACCAGAGTGCACCGGCGAACCTGTCAATGTGCTCCTATTTCAAGCCATCCACTGAGCCTACCTGGAGGGGCAGGCCGCGCACAACTCTGCCGGTCGTGCTCAAACACGATCTCGAGCTGGTTGGGAGGACCCTCAAGACCTCGGCAGATCTTGTGGAGCATCGCCCAGAATCGCGGGGCGTGGAGCTACCTCAGCGGCCGTATCCTGGAGAGATATGGTGCTGCTCACAGATGAACCCTGGTAATGATCAGCAAATTCAAATTCAACTCGGTTGAGCTGCTCGTTTGCTTGTTTTAATTGTATTCTATTTTCGTCACGCGTTTTATATCGCATATGTTTTATAATTATCGCCATCAATATCCTGTTTGGCTGTTGTCGCTTCGGCTTATGCGAAAGCTATACATGCTGTGTATATCTACATTGCATTGATGCCAACGCGGAAAAGCTTCTAATAAAATAGAAAAAAAGATAGCCTCACTCCACCGGCGCGCTGTACGAGTTGCTTGTGGCGCATCACCCCAAGCTAATATCACGCCACTTCTTCACCACCTCAATGTTTCCTCTTTCCAATATCCATCAGTATTTTTCTTCCTTGTATTCATGTTCCACTGTTACTGTATTAAGCCGGCTGTTTGCTTGCAGTCTCTCTTTCCCATCTGTACGTCTACCCAAACTACTCGCGGCTCAACAACTCATAACATGAGTACCAATCGCTATAGATCTATGGCTGGCTTTCTGTCTTTTCAAGTAAATCGGCTCTTGTTTGGAATTATTTACCAGACGACCTGAAGTCCTGCACTACTATCGCAGATTTCCGCGTCAAATTGGCTATTTGGCTAAAAGACAGCTTAACTCTTAATCATTGTTGTGATTTGCCAAGCAATGTGCATAATCAGTAAATTGATGTTGTTGTTTTTGTTTCGTTTTTTGGTTTCCCGTTCTCGGGGCCTTGTTTGTTTATTTGTGTCACGCCTGGCGCTATCCCGTATCAGTGCCGTACCGTACCGTACCATCAAATTTAGCTGGCTACAAATAGCTGGCCACAATATTTGCTGGCGCTAACCCGTATCTGTCCCGTACCGTACCATACCATCAAACACAGCTGGCCACAAACAGCTGGCCACAATACTACGTCGTATTATGTGTACGACTCGCTGATGTACATGTATCTCTTAATTTGCTAAATCCTGTATATAGGATTTTGGTCATAATTTTGAACTCAAAATGGGTGTGGCATGAGAATAGCAAAACCTATGTGACCAATCCTTCCTTGCTAGGTCTTAGGGTGCGTTTGGTTGGTACGATCTAGAACAGGATCGAACAGCTGGTGCACATGGAACAGCCTCATGCCAACCAAACGGTACTCCAGAAACAGAGCACATTTTTGTGGAAAAATGTGCCAAACTTGGTGCATTCTTCAAAATGTGTATGGGTCACCATGGTCACTTAGTACGGTAGGACGAGTTCAACCCAAAAGCGTATGCACGTGATCATTTGGGAACAAAATCGATGTTCCCGCCAGGTTTCACTGTGAAAAAGTGAAACTGCTCGGTCTGCTCCGGCCTCGAGGCCGGAGCGAGCAGAACATGTTCTGGCCGACCCAGAACAGGTGCAGTCCCAACCAAACGCGCTGTTCTGGCGAATCCTGTTCTAGTTCGTACCAACCAAACGCGCCCTTAGTAGATATCGAGAGTTGAATAAGAACATTTTTACAAACACTAACATCTCAGGCTCATCTCCTTGCCCAATATTACTAAGGCCTGTGCCCTATTTTTCGAATCCTATATATAGGATTTGAGATTTTATTGGACCTGGTTTTATTATTATTATTTATTATTATTATTATTAATTATTTATTACAACATCTCAAGACTCGGTGGAAACACCGGCCAACGTTAAGAGAGTGGCTGATTGCCAACCGTGGTGATAAATAAAAATAAGGGGAGGGAAAAAGAAAGAGTAGCAAAATGAACAGCAACAACAACTCCGTAAAGAAAGATAATGTCAAATAAAAACATTGAAAAACACAGACACGCAAAGGACATGTGGATAATGAGCGATTTATGTCGTAGTAAATAAGGGGCGG